TATAAAAGCTGGAACAAAACGACACTTGGCAGCCCTGACGCACCATTTCCAGAACTGATTTTGGCTGGAATTGCAAAATATGCAAAGAAGGAGCCAAGGAATTGTAAACTGTTCTCTCAGTTAAGTTGGGAGCCCTTCTGTGGATTCAAAACATGTTACTAGGCAAAGGAGAGAGAAAAAGAAAGTTTAGTCATCTTCAGCTTCCATCATCCCACCCCTGGCCATTCTGGCTGAGGCTGATGAGCGTTTTAGTTCAAAATACCTAGAGGAGTTGACATTGGAAAATCCTGGCCTAAAGGGTGCAAACAACCCGGCCGCATACACAGGCCATGCTAAATCATGCACAGCGTGGTTTCTTACCTAGTCAAGGCTTCCAAATAATCACATGGTTTCCATGCGTGTTGGTTTCCACCCTCATTTCCGCGCAATAGGAGAGCCCTTAAACCCAGCTGAAACTCAGTCCCAGGATGCGCGTTTGCATGGGCATGCCCTCAGCCAGCTGCTCCAGGTTTTTCTCCCGCTCAGCCAAAAGAACTGCTTGCTTGCTCGAGCAGGTCTGTTGGCCTCCCGTTTATTGCTGTGCTCCACACCCGTACAGAAGCACGCTCACCCAGAGCCCAGCCTCTGGTGGGAGAGTCCATCCACCTTTCATTTGCCATAAGTGTTACGAACTTACTGGTCTTTATTAAAATTGAACGGGTTACAAAACAGTGTAAATCCAGGTACTGTCCTCCATTTAAGATGGGGAAGAAGCACCTGCCCATATAAAGAGCTGAATCCAAACCGTAACTTCCCCTTCTCCCCTGTCGCAACAGAGTCTGATACCACCCCTCAGGGTGGCGGCTGCTGCTGGAAGGTGGAACAGCAGAGTCGCTGGACCCTTCATACTTGCTCTGCTCGTTTCGCCTGTCATCTGCAGACTGGGTCGAGCAACTCCTCCTCGTCCTCCATCCCCTCTTTTCCAGCTCTGAAATGTCTCCCTTCTTTTCCATGGTGGACTGGTTCTCACAGCCAAGCCATCTCCGCACCTCTGCCCCTCTGTCGTCTTCTCAAAATCAGATGAATCTAACTGAGCAGACTGTAATGTGCAAGAACCGGGACCTCTCTCTACATCTGCTTGCATGGCCAGCGGCCAGGGTGTCGGGAGCTGAAAGCCACATCTTCTGTAGATCTACTTTTTATTATTATTATTATTATTATTATTATTATTATTATTATTATTATTA